ACACTAAAAGAGTTTGATCTAGTTAACTTCTTCGCTTGTGGTTTGGCGATTTTGTATGGATGGCCTCTGGTACGTCCATCTACGTTTAAGTTGAACAGCCGGCCTGGGTCGACACGGTCGAAACCCTTGACGAACTTGAAGACTTGTATCACGTCACCTCTTTTGCGGCGGTGCTCAAGAGTAGGAAGTTGCAGACGACGTAATCTGTCCTCGTAGCTGATTTCTCTGAACCCAGGTACAAGTCGCGTCGCCTTGTGCTGTACTCTATTCAGTAGCTCCTGGTCACCTATAGAGTATGGACCCCATATCACATTACCATACTCTATAATGGGCCGAACCATAGTTTTGTACAACAGGGGTACGGTTGTCTTGTCAAGTCGTTGAAAGCTCTTCTTGACGAGTCCCAGAATTCTGAATGCCTTGTTAGCAGCGGCGGTGCAATGCGCATGGAATTTCAGTTTCCTGTCAACGATTACTCCCAGGTCCCGCTCCTCGCTGGTTTCTTCCAACGTGGAGCCTTGGATTTCATATTCTTGGCAAGGATTACCATGCCCAATATGCATGCGTTTACACTTTTCGATGTTAAAGCTGAGCTGCCAGTCTTTGGACCAAGCTGCCAGGTTGTTAATGTCTGCTTGCAGGGTGGCAACTTCGACTGGAGAGTTTACTCGACGAAACACTTTGGCATCATCCGCAAAGAGGTGACAGGCACTGGTAATAGTCCCGGGCATGTCGTTGATAAAGACAACGAAAAGAAACGGACCGAGTACAGATCCCTGGGGAATTCCACTTGTTACCTTGGCCCAGTCTGACATTTCACCATCAATGCATACTCGCTGTTTTCTGTCCGTTAAGAATGCCTGGATCCAGCCGTGTAACTTGCCGCCGATACCGTACTGGCTCAGTTTGTGCATCAGGCGTGCATGGGGCACCGAATCGAACGCCTTTCTAAAATCCAGGTATATGGCATCTAGGGGTTCCCCGGCCTCTACTGCTTGGGTCCACAGGTCTAATGTGGTAATTAGCTGTGTTGTACATGATCTGCCGGGCACAAAGCCATGCTGCTGGTCGCAGAAGAGGTCGTTCAGCATCATGTGGTCCACAAGCGCGTCCTTAAGAACAGATTCGAGGAGTTTCACAATGACAGACGTAAGACTAATGGGACGGTAGTTTCCAGGTTCGGTTTTCGGTCCCTTCTTGTGTATGGCAGTTATATGGGCAATTTTCCATTGTTCTGCCAGGTGGCCTTCATCCAGCGACTTACGGAAGATGATCGCGAGCGGCTTGGCTACGGCTTCCGCGACCTCAGTAAGAATCTTGGGGTGCAACGCATCTGGTCCAGGTGACTTCCCCTTCTTAAGCTTTTTCAGTTTTTTCAAGATAATTTCTGGCGTAATCAGGATGTCTTCCAGCGGGGGTCCAAAGTACTTGGTTTCCATTTGAGGCATGTGTTCTGTATCTTCCTCTGTAAACACACTGCAAAAAGTACTGGTTCAAGGTGTCTGCTTTCTCTTTCTTGCTACTCGTCATGGTGCCGTCCGCCATCTTCAGGTCTCCGATTGTAGTTTTCGTCTTTAGCCGAGAGTTAACGTATTTCCAAAATGACTTTGGGTTCTGCTTTATGTCCCGAGCAAGGTTGGACTCAAACTCATATCGGAGTCTCCTGGTGAGCTTTCTGAGGTCATTTCGAGTAGCGGTATACCGGGCATAATCCACCTCATCGCCAGTGATAGTGTAACGGTCCCAATTTGCCCGCTTCTTCTTACTGAGTCTCTTAACTTCTTGGGTCGTATACAAGTTCTTCTTGGATGTCTTCTCATTCGACAGGGGAACGTGTGAGTCAATACTGGCTTGCAGAACATCAATGAAGTCACTGTACGCCTCGTCGAAGGACTTGTTTTTCAGCCTGGTGTCCCAATCAATGCCGGACAAGTCTGCGGCCATGCTGGCATAGTCACCTCGGTATAGATTGGGCCTAGGTTTTGTGTTGCCATTTCTCTCAGCATAGACCTTGACTTTGAACTGCAGCCGGATATGATCACTTTGTCCAATGCCTGGTAAGTATTCAATATTTTCCACCATTCCGTCTTCATTGGTTAAGACTAGATCAGGGTTGAAGTTCGTGTGCGCCGTGAATCCTGGGATGGTGATTCTGGCTGCCCCAAGAGGTAGTCTCTGAGCCTTAGGGATTGCTTCCGTAAGTATGATCACATCAGGCTCTTCTGTTGTTATGGCTAACATGAGATCATCCCTCTTGTTTGGTAGTTGGTCTATGTTTGTGTACATAATGTTCAATTTGCCTTTCTCTTTCCTGTTTCTACATGATGGGTGGTTGTACGTATCAAGTCAGGCTTGGGAATGGTCATCGCGGCCGCCCCGCGGCTGGAGTTCGCGAGGTGTCTGCGTGCACACAATACGCCCACGCCTGATGACCAGGTTTGCCTCTCCCGCTTCTCTTCTTGATTTGAGCTCCTGTCGCAGCTTTCTGTCCGCTTCCCTCTCATTTGGTGTCATATCGGGCACGATGTACACTCTACTCCAGCGGGTACTGTTTCTTAAGTCTTTCGCTCTTCTGAGGATCTGAGCGCGGCTAGAAGTGTCGTCATTGTCCATTCTGATTAAGAGCGGTCTTGGCTTGTCAGAGGTCTTTCGTCCCAATCTGTAGGCTGCTTGTACCTTAGGGATGAGGTTAAACTCCTCTTTGGTGATGTCTGTAAAGAGTTTCTTATCACTCAACATGCTGTCAGTCGCATCGTCCTTCAAGTCCTCTGGCACGTTGAAAACTACGAGGTTCTTGCGCCTCTTCTCCCGCTCAATGTACTCGTCCACCAACTGGACCACCTCCCTGGAATCTTGAGGAGTGCACGAGGACGACTGAGGGTTAGAAGTACCTGCTACAATCTTGTTGATGGTGCCTGTGAAGCGGCTGAGATTCCTCGTGACGTCTGCATAAGATTGCCTTTGCCCTTGACCCTGGGACTGCAAGCTGTTACTGGCACTAGTCAACTTTAAGTCTTTCACTTTGCTTTCGATGCTGACGGCTATGGCTGAGGCTGTCTTTTCTGCAATTGATGCTATCATCACTTCATCGTGACGTTTCTCTCTCACTTCATCACTTGTGCAATTAACAGCTTCGGATCGTGCTCCATCGACAGCTAATGGCTCGCAGGTAGGACAATACCAGTGTAGAGATCGGTACTTAATGAGCGCATTAAGCATTGCTTTAGGCATCTTCATACATGGTGCACACATCCACTTAAGACATCGTTCACATTCAATTTGATCGTTCTCACCGTGGCGCCTGTCGTCACACTCACCGCTGACATTCTTTCCAACCTCATCTTCAATGGCGGGGACGGCAGCACTGTTTACCTCCTGATGACAGCTACCTTGGATCGGGTTGGGGGAACTTCCAGCTACATCCTTTGGTCTAGTGAAGGTCGCAGGTTCCTTGTTGGCAGAGGGAAGGCGCCTACGGTCTACACACCTCCGACACAGTATCAAATCACCCTGACAGTTCTGTCCACCCACACCCCGACAGTCCTCGCATCTTGGCATGGTGGACGATTTTTCCCCTTCTCAAATCACGTTAAAAACAAACAAAACACGACAAAAAGTTTCTGCAGTCCGTCAGTAGGCACTTATCTTCGTAACCGTGAAACTTGTAGAGGCGGATGGTTCAGTTTGATCAGGATTTTCAGCAGATTCTCAGAAGATTCAGCAGCAGAAAATCAAATAGCAGCCATCTTGCATGGATTCATATGCAAATCATTTACACTCGTTGTTTTTTTTTACTAAGTATTTTACAAAAAAAAACAGTATTACTTCAAGTGTGTATGTTTTTATTGTTGTTAGAGCCGACGACTTAAATCTCATTTTAAAATATTAAGATGCCTTTTACCATCCATAACTAGTATAGACCATGTGGGCATTTGCGGCGTTTGGTGTGGTTTCCTACGGTCTACTGTTCCAAAGCGTATCATCACAAGCGACCATATCTTACACCACCCAATACAACGCTCGTGAGTATTTTATTATTATTTTTGTACTTCTGCCAAGTGTAGCATGTGTTGATAGTTATGATCACTAACATATAGACAGAACACGCATGGGCAAAAAAGAGAGTAGACAAGAGAGCCTCACAGAAGAAGAACTTCTTGTGGGCGACTGAGGAATAAACCTGCAGATTTGAGAGTTCTGGCTTGGTGTTCTGTCAATGGATTCATACCCTGAGGTAGAAGGACACTACGGGATAACAGGACGGGTCACACCAAGGTGGTTATGAGGCTCCTACAGCCCCCCCCCCAGCCCCCACGAATCCCCAAAAAAGCCTAGTCTACATAGAGTTAAAACTTCGTCTAAAACGTATCAAATTTCTAAATTGAGACAACTAACAGCGTTCTAAGATCACCTCTACTCTCTTCTGAAATCTCTTATCTGAAACTAATTATGATTTCGTAACTAATTTAGACAGATTTTTCCTAAATATCGGACGTTCCTATTTTGATATTCTTTGCCCATTTTGTAAATTATTAGTATTTCATGTACAGTTGTGACGTTAATATAACTTATAGATTTAAAGCTGTTTGCTTGTTTGCTAACCACTCTGTATTCTGCTTTTTATATGTTTAAATCAAAAACAAAAAATTGCGATCTGTTGTCCACTTCTTTTATATCTTTAGCTTGCGACGAGCGTCTGACCGGTGACAATGGTACGTTCACCAGCCCAAACTACCCAAACAACTACCCTAACGGCAAGGACTGCCGGTACGGGATCTCTGTCACTCCGCCCAAAGTCGCCAGGCTGACCTTCACGGATTTTAGCCTTGAGCCTGGGTATGACTTCCTGTGGGTGTATGATGGAAACACAACTGATGAAGCATACGAAATAGGTGAGAAAACAATTTCTTGAAGCTACAGTTTAAAAAATTGGTATTTCCAACCTCCCAACATCACGAGGGTTTGCAAATCCACCCTAACGAAGGTGAAGAGCGAAATCTAGGTCAAACGGGCGGATTACACTTGGCGCGCAAGGATACCCGGTAGTAAGGTTCGGAGCCAAAATCAATTTTAACACCAAACTCATCATTCCTTACACTCTTTAGCCATGTTAATGTTTAATGATATTTCGTGGCAGTTAATGAGAAATGTTACTTCAAACTTGGACCCCCAAAGCACTTTCGTCAATTTTCTATCGCGCACTACCACGGTGCACCGTTAACACAATTATCATATTAAGTAAGAAAATCATAGTACGTAGCATCGCTGTTATTTTTTATTTTACTACGTACATTGTACAGGAAAGTTTGATGGACCAAACACCCCGGGGCCTGTGACGTCAGCAAGCAGCTCTATGACCGTTCGATTTAAGTCCGACGAATCAGTAACCAGGAAAGGATTTCAGGCCAACTACGCAGCCGTAGATAAAGGTACGCCAACAAATTTAAACTAGCCTCCCTATTCTCGCACTACAGTTCTACACAACATCCGGGACTTTCACTGAGTCTCGCACTATAGTCCTACACAACATCCGGGACCTTCACCGTGTCTCGCATTATAGTGTCTGTTGTAATCACATAAACAACAATGCAATGATTTAATCTAAAGCAGTATTTAGTTGAGATAGACGACGTGTGAAATTGAACAGTTACTTTTAATCAACTCTGATCTAGTTCTTGTGCTGATTTCGTCAAACATCAAAGAACATGTTTTTCTTTCTTTTTTATACAATCAAGGTTCATGTCATTCCGACATTAAACTATCAAATGCTCAAATGTTTTGTAAATCAAATATTATAAAAGAATCGACACCGACGTTTTTGTATTTTGGTTGGCAGTGTTCTCTACATGTGACATCGGCGAGTACCTATGTGCTGACGGTGTGACCTGCATAAAAGCTTGGAAAAGGTGTGACGGAAACAGAGACTGCCGAGGCGGCGATGATGAGGATGCAAACAAGTGTGGTAGGTACTAGATTAGCTTACGTTGATTTAAAAAAAAAAACAATTTTGTCTGTTTTTTGGCGCGGCTGTTTGTCTAAATCTACGCGTCTATGTATAGTATGGGGTCAAAACTGACCCCAGGCGTATATACATATGAGTCATTTTGACATTTATGGTCGAAAACGAAACTCCTTCTATAAGTTTGTATGTATGTCTTATAATTTCTCATTGGAGCATTTTAGGCAAGGTATTGAATGAGACGTTGCCTTTCTCTGCTTCTTTTAGCAAAGATCTTTCCTTGAATATAAGGAATAACATACATCAGCGGAAGAGGACTGTGATTTGTTCTTTATTGGTAGCCCCATCTTCATCAGAGCAATTATTATATGACTGGTTCACTATACACTAAATGCCGGATGTTACTGCTAACAATGTTAAACATAGTCATAAACAAACATTTCGTCGATAGGGAAATTTTTTCATCTGGGAAATTAACCCTAAGAAGATGACAGACGGCAACTGCCTTGACGAAGATTACGTACGGCCAGCAAAACGTTGGCTTTTGTGGTTGTGAGGAAATCATTTTCTTATCGATCCATCATTCAAAAACCTGATGAAATTTTTCAAGAAAGATGATATGTTTTTGTTTTCTCATCCAGCTTGTCAAGATATCCCAGCGTCTTTGAGGATGTGCAGGGACCTTGAGTACAACAAAATGACACTCCCAAACCCTCTCAACTCCGCCCACACAACGGTAGATGACATCATGAACTCAAAATTGTTCGATGCCTACAGGAATCTTGCGAATACGCAATGTCACCCCAGTATTAGAGAATTCGTGTGTGCAACAATTCTGCCACGCTGCATTTCAAGGTACATTGTTCCTAATTTTTGTTTAGTTATTGCTAACACACATCTGCATTTAATAAACCAATATGATACTGATACTAGGCATGCAAGTTGTATGCAGTTGTATTGGGCAAATCTACATTGAACCGTGCCTGATCCTTAGCCTCACACATTAATAGGGCACAGAACTGGTTTTGGCCGGAGATCGGGAATAGATCGGGCCATATTTTATAATTAGTTGGCGGTCAAATTTGACTAAAATTCGATTCTATCCGTATAGGAAAATTTTGAGGCCTAAATCTTGTCAGACTGCTCCCGAACTTTAAGCGACGGTCACAACCCGCCGTGCGTGCTTTTTGTCCGTACGTTTTTTTTTTGGAGGCTTCGTCTGCTACGTTTTTTCTGAAAACGTGGGGAAGGAGAGGCGTCGACACACGTCACTCGCACGTCACTCGCACGGTTGCGCAAAGTGTAAGAGTGTGGTCTGCACGCCAAGTCTGGCCGTGAGCCGTTGCGTGCATCGGACGTTGCGCAAATGGTGAGTTGTACGTGCTTACAACGTACGATCTCTGTGCGATTGCAACTTTGTCGTAAGGAGGCCGTACTCACACGTGCTTCTTCCGCACGGCACGTACGGGGCACGCGCGTCGGTCGTACTCGCACGCACGGGTGGTGAATCCGCAGACCGCACGTAGGAAAAGTTTTACATGCACTAAAAGTTCTACGGCGTGTCTGCGTGCTCCCAAATCCGTAGGATTCCGTACGGAGGTGGTACTCACCACGCATGGCCTACGATTGCCGACGTTTTTACACGCAGACAGCACGCAGAAGCACGTACGGCGGGTTGTGACCGTCGCTTTAAGCGACGGTCACAACTCGCCGTACGTGCTTCTACGTGCTGTCTACGTGCAAAAACGTGGGCAAACGTACGGCATCCGTGCGTGGTGAGTACCACCTCCGTACGGAATCCTACGGATTTGGGAGCACGCAGACACGCCGTAGAACCTTAAGTGCATGTAATACTTTTTCTACGTGCGGTCTGCGGATTTACCACCCGTGCGTGCGAGTACGAGCGACGCGCGTGCCCCGTACAGCCTATGAGCGTGCAACGTACGGACTCCGTGAGTCTAACTTCACTATTCTCACGTGCAATTGCTGTACGGACAGCGCACGAAGCACGTGAGTGCCACGCACGGTGCTTGCGTCATCCGTGCTTACTCCTCACTTCCCAGTTGACCTGCTCAATGACCACGCAGAACACACGTGCACCATACTAGGTGCTCCGCACGTGCAACGCACGTGCAACGCACCTGATTTCTACAGTATATAAAGACGACTTGACGGGCGACTGCCAACTCGTCTCCAAGATGCCCAGGAAGGCTCAGAAGAAGTCTACCAGACAAGATCCAAAGAAACGGGCCGCGGAAGACACCAGGGCGGCTAGTGATGATGAAGTTAACAGGAGGTGCACGCACTTACAACGTGCGAGTGAGTAAGGAAACCGTGCGTACGCCGCACGTGTAGGTACGGCCTGTACGCGGCAACGTGGCAATCGCACAGAGATCGTACGTTGTAAGCACGTACAACTCACTTACCACTTGTGCAACGTACGATGCACGCAACCGCTGACGGTCAGGCGTGTCGTGACCACGTACGTACACCTTGCGAGTGACGTACTCCCTCGGCCGGCCACCCTACGTTTGCAGAAAAAACGTAGCAGACGTAGCCACGACAAAAACGTACGGACAAAAAACACGCACGGCGAGTTGTGACCGAGGCTTTAGCCAACCTTGTTCGGTTGGTTTTTGGGGGCATGTTATGAATGTGTGACAGGGGCGTTTCAGTGTAGCAATCATCACCTGTCCCCATCCCTTTCAGTCCGACTCCCAGGCAACAGCTGCCCTGTCGGTCTTGGTGCTATGAGGTGGAAAACTCGTGTGACGCGGAGGAATCCTGGTCAGATTCTTTCGCGTACAATTTCTGCGATATTTTCCACTATAACAACTGCAACAATGTCAGGCCTTCAACGACTGCGGGTGGTGGTGAGTTTGTTTGTCAGTTATGCTAATCTTGGACTATATTTTTAAAATTTTGTTGCGGAAACTCATTCTCTTATAAAGGGGTGATTACACAAAATATTTTTGTAAAATGTTTTCGGACCGATGGACTAGTGAATTTTTGACTAACTTTTTTTAATTGTGATTTTTTTTTCTAATTGGTCAAATTGGAAAGTTATTTTGGATGTTGTACTTTTGTACAGGTTAGTTATATGGTGTCGGGGTGGGGATGGACTAAATTTGCTGTATTTGCTTTCGAGAAAATGTCGGCCTTTCTAGTTACGATTTAAGTTTTATTTTATACATTTCAACTATATCCAATGGTTGTTGTGCAACGTATGTCCAATTGTCATGCAATAATGTTCTTCATAAAATATCTAGTTTCTGTTCACTGTAGTGTAAACATTAAAGTAGTTTATAGTACTATTTAACGACGTGCCTTATATTGTATACGTTGCAATCGTTGTGCTATAGAGCTAATCAATTTCATAGTCATGATTAATAATATTTTATTTTTACTTATAGTGGAATGCTTCGATGGAAACGGTGTAAATTACATAGGGAATGAGTACAGAGATCCGAGAGGGGAGGGCGACTGCACACGCTGGGACGTGGACTCCAACCCCGAATGGTACCCATGGGCGAATCTAGTCGATAACAAATGTCGAAACCCCACCTTTGATAAAAGACCATGGTGCTATACATCCGGTGGATTTGAGTACTGTGACATCCTTCCCTGCGACAGTACGTTGTCAAGTTATTACCTATTTGTATGTGTGTGTGTGTGTGTGTGTGCGTGCGTATGTGTGTGTGTGTGCGTGTGCGTGTGTGTGCGTGTAACTCATGAAACGTTGGGTTAATTGTCATGAAACTACGTAGGTTTATAGGTGTCGAGGGTTTGAGGGTAAATAGCTTTTCTGCTCGGGAAGAAATGACATTAGTTTGAATCTCCAAGCTGCTTGTTCTGGAAATGCACGAGTGTTTCTTGAAAAATCTTCGAGGGAGGATAACTAAAAAACCGGGAAACAAGTATGCTGGTAGCTAAAGCGATGCTTGACACCATTTGATGACAATTAAGCAACGTAGTGTCTAATTTGCAACGATAATTAGGAAATCCTATAAATGTCACGTTCGATAATAGGTCCATGAAACACATGACATGAGTTATGAAAGCGAGAGGAACATTAGCAGATATTGATTATGTAATGGAAGAGCTAATTTGCATGATTAATAGAAAGCTGTTATAATTTCATAATGATAACTGTCAGAAATTCAATACTTGTAGCATTTGGAAATGAAAGTGAATTTTATTGAACGTAATCCTATCAAATCAGGACTTCATTTCCAAATACATACCAGATTTCTGGCTAGTATATATAGAAACTACCCTTTAGTAGCATCTTACACGTTTGCTTTTCTTTTTCACCATATGCCATTAGCTTCGATTAAAGGGTGCAAAGATCCGGGCAAACCCTTGTTTGGACAGAGGTACCCCGTCCTGAAGTTCTACTGGCCTAATGATAGAATCACGTACACCTGTGACACGGGATTCAAGTTCCCGAAGGGGAGTCCCCCCAATACAGCACGGTGTGTTCAAGTCAACGAATCAACGGGAGAAGTCAACTGGGCAACAAAGAAACCTAAATGTGAAGGTGTGTGTTGTTTCATTAATTTTGCTTTATCCAGAACCATGCTCGGACACGGTTTTGGATAGTGTACACGTATCCCGAACGGTAACAGGGCAAATCTGCGGTATTGGACGCACAGGGACTATCAAGAACCGTGCTTTACTGCTTACCGATCCGTTGACCGGGGGAGGGCGTGGGTGTGGGGGCGCCTAATGGCCAGGCACGACTGCCTCCCACCATCCCTCTCTCTCTCTGCCATGTTTGCCGTGTACCAGCGCATGGGTGCTGAAAAGGGGCAGGCCTGTCCACTCCCTATATTGTCCTCCCACCTCTTCCCTATTTCGTTACGAAATGCTCTCTTCATCGATCATCACCGGTTGTTGTTTTTATTCCAACATGTAATCATCAGACGTGGTGACGGCACACTTAAGTTTTGTCAACTTATATTAATGCCGCCACCAACACAGGGGACAAATACATTACAGAATAATACTCATTTATACCTGAGCTAAGTGAGGAAAGTCGTGTAAAGTGCCTTTCCCAAGGGCACAAGATCGGTGGCATGTCAGGACTGCTTGTTGTCAGGTTGTTTCTGTCTCAGTCTGCTTAAAAATTCAACTACCTCAAAATCGTACCACTGTGACGAATGTGGCTCAGGGATATTCTTCGTAGTTACAAATATATCCTTTACTCCTGATCAGATTGCGAAATGCCTCAGTAGTATAAATTTCCTCATACAAGCTTGGAGTAAATACCTGTTTGGACAGTTAATCTAACAGCATTTTAATCTGTTGCAGTCGACCACAAATACAAGCTCCAAAAGGATCTTCTTAGCGAGACTGTCTACAACGTGGAGGTTGCTCCAACAACTAGTCTGTATATTAAAGCATATGTCGTTAACATCATCAACTTGGTAAGTACCAGACGTGGCTTCCAAATCCGATATTATTTTCAGCTTGTTGTTAGGACGATTCAACATAGTTTTTTTCACAACCATATATATTACTGTGCAGAGGTTTGAAATGTTGATAGCCTTTTATCGTCTTCGAATATTAGCCCGGTTACTAAACCTACAATAAAGGGTTAATAACCCGCCTTGAGGTGTATATTCATGGTCGGTTCCTATAACCACCGAATGAACGACCGAGTTCGCAAAGCGGACGAGGGTAATGGCGTCTCTTCTATCTTTTTCTCTTGTAGGATGAAAAAGCTGAACAAATAGTAACATCCTACAAGGCTGAATGGGTAAGTTCTTACTTGCGTTCTCCTAATATATATGCATGTATGTATACAAATATATGTATATATATATATATATATATATATATATATATATATATATATAGAGAGAGAGAGAGAGAGAGAGAGAGAGAGAGAGAGAGAGAGAGAGAAATAGTAATTAGTTTTTTTGCCATTGAAATGATGTACTGTCCCGAAATCTGTTTATATTTGTGAAAAAGCGGACTTTTTACTGTTAGATTGGACACATATAAAAACGGTCCTGTCTGAAACACACGTATCGTACGTAATTGCGGCCCAGGTATGACATAAATGACAGTATAAACGAGAAATTGGATATTTCAAACTTCAAAAATAGTTTTCTCCTCTTTACTTTCGTTAAATTTAAATTAAAAAAAGTTACGAGGCATCAAAATATATCCTAATATGTTTACAAATAACAGAATGTATGTATGTATTTATGTATGTATGTATTACAATACATGCTTTCTTGTGTTTGTATTTTACAGACCTGGAAAGACGATCGATTGACATGGGATCCTGAGAGGTACGGTGATTTTGACCACGTCTTCGTCAGTGATGAACTGGTGTGGCAACCAACATTGACACTGGAGAGAAAGTAAGGCTTGTTATTAAAATGTATAGAATACTGGAACGGAGGTTATTGTTACAACATTGCACTTTGGCTTTTTTCTCCGTAAAGAGCTACCGGTTTAGCTTTAGCATAAGTACGGACATTTAAAAAGAGTAACTCTCTTATACCAGGTAGAGTCATTGCTAAAACATTATGTTCGGCAAGGGTGACTTCAAATTTCAGTAAATTGCCCTTTGTCTTTTTCCCTTAGAAACCCAGAATACTTGTAAAATGTCATCAAAACGGCAATTTATTGTCTTATATGTGGCCATAAGTAAACTTCACGACTACAGCCGTATTACTTTAGCGGTAACGTAGGGTACAGAACTCCCCAAAATTGGCTATACTCTTATCAACCAATCTACCTGATGTGATGTGATGTGATGCAATGTACATTTTGAAACATAGTAAGTGTGGTGGGAAAGAAGAATAAAAGCAATTATGTCCCAGCTAGATCCGCGTTTGCTCATATCTAGTCAATAATAGTGGTGACAGCATTTTGCACATTTCAATGAGGACGAATCCTAAATCTGACGGTTAAAATACATTTAAACCATTTTAAAATGATGACCACCCAGGGAACCGAGAAAAAGTGGTCTTCCTAGACAAAAATCATGCATGGATACAAGCCATCCGTTCTAACCAGTTGCAGTCGATTCACTGCTGATTTATTTATTTCTGTATTCTTTTACATGTATCTCCGAGAAATTGACAATGACAATAACGACAACAACGCCAATAAAGTTGATTGCATATTCATGCCCGTTTGTAGCTAAATGCAGTACGTTAGCTACAAATACATAACGGAGATATTATGTTCATGTCTTTGCTGTTAAATCTTTAAACATTTGTTGACGAAATTACAGCCTTTTCTAATACATAGGTTTACTCGAGATGACCTGTTCTAACTGTATCTAATTAACAAAGGTATTGTGTAAATATGTAGAGCATGTATTAGCCATAATAATAGTATTAAGCATTAGTCATAACTTTAATAACATAATTGTTACAGGAATCAAGTTATGCTTTTCTAAAGTATTTTTGAACTCAATTCTATTTTTCCAGTGCTGACACAAGGTACAGCGGAGATTTCCCTAACACAGAGGTAAGAATAGATAACGACGGTACGGTGACCTGGCCTATAGCAGCATTGGCCACCACTACCTGTACCCTGGACCCTTTCCTCTTCCCGCAGGACAACATGACATGCGCAATTTGCTGGACTGTTGGAGAAGACTACACAATTGGTATGGCAACTTTGAAGTCTTATTTCCAACACAAAAATACTTCGCTTTCCAGATAAAACTCGTAGAATTTCGCCCTGCCGAAATCTCGCGAGCACGCATTAAAAACGGAACGTTGGTTGAGTCCCTTGCGATGACGTCCCCTACAATTAGGGTCCTAATAAACAGAGGGAGGCAAGTAGACATGTTATTTCTCGACTTTGCCAAAGCATTTGATTCTGTTTCTCACACCCTCTTGACCCACAAGCTACAAACGTTTGGCTTTGGTGGAAATCTTCTTGCTTGGTTTAATTCATATTTAACTAACCGTCGTCAGCGTGTGGTGGTGGAGGGTTGCCACTCAAAGTTGCTCCCTGTTATGCTTGGGTCACATTTCCAAGCCGGAGCCCGGCCGGGCTGTTTTAATTAACGAAAAATAAACAATTTTCATCAAGAATATATGTAAACAGTTCCATTGTTGATACTTTTCAACCTTTTTGTGCTTTGTTGTCTTTTGTACCATATTTTTCGTTCCAAATGACTGTCCGGCCGGGCCCCGGTTTGGAAATGTGACCTAAGCATTACGTCTGGAGTTCCTCAGGGCACAGTTCTCCGGCCTTTTTAAATCTCTTTTGTACATAAATGACATACCTTAAAGGACGTTAAATGGAGGTCCCGTTATAGGGAGAGCCACATCCCACGTACGTTAAAGAGCACACCTTTCAAACAAGAATAGACACATGCGCCGGTATGCCATGGTGAAAATTCTACAGTCAGGATTTTGTGATTCACTACAAATCACCCTGAGCGCTTTTCTCCAATCCATTCAATATCAAGATTCCAATAACGTAACGGTTTAGAAGCGGTAGATATCTCATTCCTTGACAAAAACTAAAGTTGAACAGTCGAAAATTTAGGCGCGTCTGTTTTTGTGTGTGAAATTACAGTTCAAACCACATTTTTACCACAGATAAACGCTCTAACTAAAGTATGGCAACATTTGGTACCCCATAATTCCCAATTTACAAATAAGATGTACGTATTTATGTTTACATAGCCATCATTCGAAAATTACCATTTTTTAGGGAGATGGGGTGCATATTTTTAAGTTGGAACAACGCTGTACAGTACAACCTGCATGTTACCAGCTAACCGCATACATTTAATACGTATAATTTAAAAACAGTTGACCTGTTAAATTGTTTCTTGCTTTAAGGATGTGCAAATCAAACTACTCACCATGACACCAAGGTCAAAAACAAGAACTTCCTGACCTGCCTAAATCCCGATGCCGACATTGTCACGGGGGAGTGGACTGGAAAAACAACAGCTTCATCTTCAAACAACGAGGCCTGCCTGACGATAACACTCAAGCGAGATCCCACCTATCACTACTCCACAACCATCTCTCCCTGTCTCATCCTGATCGTCCTCATGATCATCACATTCATCATGCCCATTGATAAAGGCGACAGGATTGGATTCGGCGTCACCGTGCTGCTGTCCATGGTGGTGTCGCTAGTCGTCGTTACTGGCTTCCTACCTGTGTCAAGTACCCTCCCATTTATCGGTAAGCTGTTTTCCCAAGTCTTTCACAACTCAATAAATGGTTATGGCTACATAATACGATTTTTTCGCAATAATAATGTTGTCTAGACAACAGCCAGTGTTGCAAACTCCGTGGTATATTTGTTGAATTTTGGAACCGGTCAGGCTTTATGTCTTTAACCTTACATTTTTATTGGAAACTTAGCCTTTAATTATGCTTCTTATCTATTTCAGCTATGCTTATCATTGTGTGCATGGGTCTGATGGCACTCTTCATGCTGTGGACTGTCTTTATCCTCATCATACACGACAAGAAGGGACCCCTTCCGAAATGGGCCCGGACATTCTTCCTGAAGCATATGGCAAGGTACGACAAACCTTCGAATTCTGACCTTCGAATTCTGTTGATATGAAGTCTCCACATGTGTGCTATCTTTAAGTAAGCCTGAAAGATTGTGTTGTTAGATGTCACTCTGAAACAGATATGAACTGTAATTTTCTACACAAAAAAATGGTGCTTACCTAAATGCTTTACTGTCCATCTCCAGTCTTTGTAAATTTAATGCTTGCGTGAGGTCACGCCATGCAGATAAAACCCATGACTCGTTAAGCAGTGGATCATTATTTAAAGCAGAAATTTGTGGTGCTCCCCGTCCCTGTTGAGAGGATGTTGTAATAACATTTTTTTGTGTCTCGGACATTAACCCTATCTATACCGGGGGGGGGGGGCTAAAAAGTGCCCGCGCCAACTTTGGAGCTAAGAATTGGGACCCGATATTGGTCGATTTCGCGCGCTCATGCGCGCGCGCGCAAGTGGCCACGCCGTAGCGGCGCTGCGCGCGGGCGCGCATAACGCCCCCCACGAGCGGCGCTGCGCGCAGTTTGTTGGTACGACTATGGATTTTGTTGGTACGCGAAACCTGCCAGATCGGTCCTTGTCTGCGCGCGCGCGTATAGCGCCACGCACTAGCGGCGGTGCGCGCACTTTGCCTGGTAAGCCTGGGGAATGTGTTGGCGCGCGCGTAGAGCCTAACCAGGCCTTGGTTGTGCGTGCGCAATTTCTGCCATTTACGATCGGAATTGCGCGCAGGAATTGTCTGGCGTATTCGTACGTGTTCTGGTGCCTTTGATTTTGTTTATCCTGATATCTTTAATTTTGTATGATGTTTATCTTACGTATCCACAGTATACAGTAGATGTCGCTTTTTTTGAAAAGCCAATTTGCCAGCGCATTTTTTCAATTACCCGGCCTTTCCGGCTCAAACTCTCGGACTTGAAACTATGGGGCTGGGGGTGGACAGGGCATCGAACACAAATAACGACACAAAGAATACAAACACGGGTCATGTTTACCCATTAGTAACAGTGAACTTTATTTAGATCTGTAAGTTTACTTGTAATATTTTTTTCGTTTACGTGTTTTGTTTTTCTTTTCACAGTAATAACTGGAAGAAAGCTGCGATATGTTAGCTATCATGTGCTCTCCGCTCCAACTCTACTCTACTCTACTCCAACACTGCTGCGTTTGCTACGTACAAAACAAGCCACGAATACATACATGCACAATCATCAGCCTGTACATACGTTTACATCACAAAAAGTAGACAAAAATAAAGTTTGATCAATGGAAAACTTCAATCAAGTAGCGTACAGATTAGACGTCAGACGCTCGTGATCGTCATGAAACTCGTCGATATCACAAAGAATCTCTTCGTTGTTACCTTCATACATAATTTTCAGAAACTCCGACTAGCACACGAAAATTATCGTAACTAATGCAACAATAAACTGTTCATTTCAATGTTAAGGACGAAGATTACATGGAAATTTGCAACAGCTGACGAAGCACAATAGCGTTCAGAGGAGGAAACAAAGATGGCGGACGTAGCGTGGGTAGCAGTATCCCGTCATTCAATGCGGTGTTTTTTTTCGTGGCACATTTGCCGTGTTGATGCGGCGATAGCGCCGTGTCGCAGTCGAAATAAATCTTAGAATTTGTACATTGTACAATCAAGCCTAAAACGTTGGGGTGTGCGTTTCAAACAGCCAAGGACGTAATCATGACTGATGATGACAACGACGCCACGACATTTTGAGTTTTTCCGGTTGGATTTGAAAAGAGGCTTGCTTCGAATTCGTTACATGATACATGTCGGAAGGAATATGACTTGAGACTCCGCAAAGTTTGCTTATACACACACAAAAAAAACAGTTAATCAAGGAACTTGATATGATTTTTGGAAACGGTCAAACAACGTCTCTCCATGTAACACACTACATTTTTTCAGATCACAATATTCCTCCGGATCCGACCATTTTGTAGTAAAACCAATGGATCCCTTTATGCCTCAAACCATGGAGTTAGAAGGGCTATTACTTAGCCTACCTGGGCAAAAATATGCAAAAAAGCTACTTAAAGTATACTCTAGATACATTTTATTGCTTGCACAGAATAAGGTGGCCTTCTAATATTAACTTCTACAATGGGATTTACGACTCGCTATAACTTCCCTTTACCGTTGAAAATAACAAAATGGCGACAGTGAGGTTTTGACGCTATCCCGTCATCCATTGTGGTTGCTTGATAGAAATCAAGGAAGTTAAAAATCAAAGTGAGAGAAAAATTATTTGTACACATTCTTCATATTTAGCATTCGGTCCTTTAGGAGTCAAAACAGAGAAATGTGCCGCGGCCGGAGCCTGATGTGAATTTTATCCATGACAAGGTTTGCGCCGGGTATTTTTTTAGAGATACAATTCTACCTCTATGGATATACCCGTACCCAGAAAGTTTGATTGAAAGGAAGCTGGCAATTTGGCAAGACTGTCTTATAAAAGTCAGTAAGTTAATTGTTTGCCTTCCCCTAAAGGACTGGGAGAACTATTCGTTGAGAAACTTCACCGAATCACCGAAAATACGGAATGTAGAGTCGGCGACAGATTTATCTTAAAGAGTATATGTAGAGTAGAGTAAAAGCTCCGGTCGGGTATTACGTATGTAGCATGAATGTCCGCGAGAGTGTGATGGCTGGTCCTTGTAAATTTACGACGTCATGTTTTATTAAAGTAGGAGCGCTGCACAAAGATGAGAATATGTGTGAGTCGGTCAACTATTCGAAGCAACTGCCGCCTCGCCCCCGATAATTTCGTACAAAATATCGGACCAAAGTATTCCTTTATCGGCTCCCTTCATGCCTTGAAAAGACACATTTTATTACATCTTGAGAATAAGGTGGCGTACTATTACTAGCTTGTACCAAGGACGTTCAACGAGACGTCCTTGCTTGTACAAAGGGATTTGCAACTTCCCTAGCCTCTCTACCAAAACAACAAGCTGACAAGATGGCGACTGTCAACTTGCGACGCTATCCCGTCATCCATTGCCCGACCGTATCGGCTTGACAAGCGACTTTGCGGTAAGTGTTATTTCTTAATTACAACTGATGACAAAATACGACATACTCAAGCTCATAGCTTATGTTCGTGTCGTCATCAAAACAAAGAACATTACAGATGTATGTCAAAACAAACACAGGCATTCAAAGCATAAGGGTAACAAAGTACATTGTATATGATAGCAGTTATGTATGAAATATAAGAAAATGATAATGAAGCGTTGTATGCAGGTAAATGGACCTATCACATTATTACGTCACACTTTGTTTACCTGTTCTAAAGAACATTCTAGAACGGTCAGATAAAGAATAAAGATCATTTCAAAGTTTTCAAAGTCAGGTATGTTTGGTTTTTGCTGCGTCTAGTTTTGTTGACACAGCATTACATGCCGTAATGGGTGATTTAGTTGTGACATGGCAGTAGACGAAAGTAGTACTGTATAAAAAGTCTAATATGAAGTCTAACGCTACACAAACACATTCTGTAGATAGAACATGGAACGGGTATAGCACTTTTGGCCCTTTTTTTGCTGAAAATAGCCATTAAAGTCCCCCAAATGAGTCATTTGGAAGTGGTATATGCCAAATATGTGACTGCTATTCTGTAGACACATGTTCAAGGTACCCTTATACCGATTTTCAGATCATTTGGTTGTAAAACCAGGGCTCAGGATCCAAAAATCCATTTTTTGGCGAAAAATGCCCCAAAAAACCTTCATAAAAAATTTTAAAAGGCATGTAGCAAAAAAAATTTAAAAAAAAAAACGCCATGCCAAATTTCAGGTCATTTGACTAAAAAATGACAGAGTTGAATCCCTTTGACTGTTTGGCAGGAGGAGGAGGAGAAGAAGAAGAAACATGAGAGAACACAATATATTTCATCCATACCATGGTATGGACTGAAATATAAATAGAATAACACAACATAACATCAGGCACAAATAAACTGTCACAAGAAACAGATAAGTGAATCTTCGAAAAAGGGCCACGATCTTGGTCTGATACAGATGCATAGCGTCTGTATACATGCTTTGTAGATTTTAGTAAAGCTTTTGATTCCGTCTTTTTTCAGACTGCTACAACATCAAACCATGGAGGTAGCTACCTCCATGATCAAACCAAATAAAACCACCATAAGTGGAATTTCATGATCAGGGGACGGACAGAAGCCCGCAATGCAGTAATCCGCCGCACGTGCAAAGCGAAGTAATTATGTCAACATGCATGTGAGGTTAATCTACTAGGACGAAAAACTGCAACCTCAACGCCAACATTGCTAAGGCTGCTACTTGGCAGGAGTAATGCCGACTTGGTGTACTTGCCCTGGTTAAATAAAATGAGTGAATGTGTGGTTACGGTAGGTGCGGTCGTACGGGGAGTCACGACAAGAAGACGGAATCTTTGTGCAAGTTAGTCATGCAACTTACATGCAATGATTTTAGTTGAATTTTTTTGTCAATTTGTACCTTTAGAGATGTTTTTGATCATAAGATAAAGATCTACCTTTTGCACATACTACAAGAACTTTCAAGTACTAGTAACATTAAGATAAATCTTAATATTGTTTCTTGCTCCGTGAGATTGATATCAAACATTTTAGAAAAAAATATCAAGATTGTTCTTAGATTTCTTTACGAAAAGCTTAACAAGGGCTTTGAATGAACTTCGTGTCGTGTTGAAAAAAATGGCATTCGCCTTACTAACCTGTACCTGTGCGTCATGATGAAGAAAAGTCACCGTCAGATTTTGGTGTTTTGTCGCTGGTTGGAGAACGCAAAGACGCTACTCCGCTGTGACTTACCTTGAGGCGGAAGATGACCCGGCCTCTTTAGAGGTGTATGCGCAGAGGCTTGAAAACTTAAGGTAAGATGATTTGGTGTTGTTTTATTGGCCTATGCCATAGCTAATCCTATGGTAATGTAGGGTTGATGAGATTGGCCACGTTCGATGTGCGAAAGATGCTATGCTACTCTTTTGTACTGACCAAGCAGAGACTGTTTTGATATATTTTTCGTTATGCCAAGATACAAAAAGAAAAGCTGACAAACTATAAAGCTAATCAAAAACGTTTGAAGACAGAAGATGAAGTCCACTTTGCAGTAGCTAGATTGTACTTTATATAGTAATGAATCTAATGATAGAAATTATCTTTTTAAGATATATTGTCATTGTCATATATTACAAGAACGTTACCATCTTTCCCATCCCTGACTAATATCGAAAAAATCATCTTTCTTAATATGGGCTTTTATCATCCTGTATTAAACAAACCCATTTCAAATTATATACTTTATTATATACATGTACTATATATACTATATATACTATACGATTGGTCTCGGTGTTAACTAAGCGGGTACGGTCAAATACTGAATAAGGTATCCTGACGTACCGGGCTTAAATAATACATTCCCTGATGACAAGACTTGAAGTATTTCATCAAGTGTTGTAAAGTTCGTACTTGCCAGCTACGCAGAGAGTCCTGGTTTCTCCTTGGAGACGAAACCTGGGTTTTGCGCCCTTGGCCTTGACATGTTTGAAGGCTTCTTGGAGCTGTTGCTTCTTCTCCTGGATCGACAGGTAAGTGCTCACTGATTCCGACGCCTGACTTTAGCTCTAGACGGTAGGTACGGCGCAGAACAACTTCCCTCTCAGGCATTGAGTCGAATTTTACGATGATCGGATTACCATTTCATACGCTATACTAGTATGCGGTGGGCATTAACGAAGGAGAAATCAATTCTGGCATTCATGACACCCAGTTTGTCGACAAGAAAGTTGTAAGCTTCTTGTACCACAGCTTCCTCTGCCTTGAAAATGAACTACATCACCACATCAAAGTAAACGACAAAACAATATAGTATTAAAGCCTTGTCTTCATATAGGATCGGCGATCCACGTTCCGGCATGGCAACAGACATCTTTGCCCATTTTTCGGCATTTTGACCACTGTTAGGGGGCAACAAAATTTCTTGTTATTTTCCCCAAACTAGGCGAACATTAAAGCGTATTGACTTGAAACTCGGAATTCATGATCGAGAAACATAATTCCGCACAGAACCTTAAAGGCGACACAGCTAGGACCTGTCCAGGGTAGATGATTATTAAAAAAAGCCAAACCGGGAATATATAAATAATACAAATTATGACATGACATCGCGTGTTTGGGGGGTGTATCTGCATTTCGCCCCCGAAATCGGTAGTAATTATATATAAGTTATATATACTGACAGTAAATAGAATCTCTGCTCTCCTGCTCTTTCACATGCATTTCCTGTCGGATCAAAACCAACAACACGTTAAAAATAAAAAGGCAATTCGCACTTATTTTCGGGTGGGATTTATCAGACCGTATTGGTAGGGGTTATAACGCCCCTAACGGCGTGATATACCCTTCGTTGGGCTGCCCTGGCTGTCTTGTACCAGCCAAACCAATACATAAAATAAATAAATACCCTTCGGGTGAGGTTATTGAAAGACTAACGAAAGGTCATTGGTTAGAAATTTTATAGGAGTAGTAAATGAAGCTTAGATACTCGTATTATGAATAACTTTAGATTAGGAAGACACATGGTATTAGATTCCAGCGACAACCTTTCATATATGGCGTGTCAGACTCGGCGTGTCAGCCCCCGAAATCATGGAACGAACTACTTTCTCTCGCGGAAGCGAGGCTGTTGTACGTACACGCATCTGTATTAGTGCGCGTGTTTGTTTGGTTAGTAACAAAGCATGACCTTTGACATCTATTGTCAGTATGTTAATTAGTGACGTCACCAAAGGTTATTATCCAGCGTGGGTTTAGACGTTCGGTCACGCGTGGGTGCAGCTCCGATAGAAATGTTCCACTTCATCGCTCCCCGAAGACACGCTGCAAGGTAACTGATTACGCTTCTCATCTGTTTTCTCTTCTAGTATGCTATGCTTAAGCTTTCTGCCTTTTTATGACCTTGCTAAATAGGTGTTTTTATTTATTATTTGTTACTTTCAGGATTAATGTTTCGTAAGTTTCAAGGACATTGTACAAGTCTTACAGGCTTCTTTCCTCCTCCTGCACTCTGTTTATTTCTTTGTTTTGCATTTGTTGATTATTGTTTTTATTTGTGCAAAGGGATAAATGAAAACTGCAATATTTGAAGCTCCAAGTATTGATTGCAGCAAAAACGCTACGTTGTTGTCAAACTTTATATATCACACACCAGGAAGCACGAAATACGCTAGAGCTGAATGATACACCAGTTGTTTGACCATTTTCCTCCTTCAGTTTACTTGCAAGTGTGTAATATCTTATTCCCGAACTATCATTGTTGTTGACTATAATAGTTTAATACTATTGACTAAGCACGAGATGCGTGCGCGCAATTCCGATCGTAAATGGCAGAAATTGCGCACGCACAACCAAGGCCTGGTTAGGCTCTACGCGCGCGCCAACACATTCCCCAGGCTTATAAGGCAAAGTGCGCGCACCGCCGCTAATGCGTGGCGCTATACGCGCGCGCGCAGACAAGGACCGATCTGGCAGGTTTCGCGTACCAACAAAATCCATAGTCGTACCAACAAACTGCGCGCAGCGCCGCTCGTGGGGGGCGTTATGCGCGCCCGCGCGCAGCGCCGCTACGGCGTGGCCACTTGCGCGCGCGCGCATGAGCGCGCGAAATCGACCAATATCGGGACCCCATTCCTACCTGAACTTTGATGTCACCTAGCGTCTGAACGGCTAACGCTAGAACCGCCAAACTTGGTGACTTTTCCTAAAATATTGTTGGCAACAAATCTGTATCAGTGGAATAGGATTATGATTTTTCTTGTTGCCATGGCAACGGGTTTCTGACAGGCATTTTTTGCTAAATTTAATAATTTCCGTTTCAACAACAGAATTTTATGGGTTTTATGTCAAGTTACATATGGTTTCTAGTATTAATAACATCTCATATAATTATATGTCAATTTTATCATTAAAAATGCATAATTTATGCTAATTTGATGACGTCATTGGCCAAAATCCAAGATGGCGGACCATATCATTAGATCAGGTAAATACAGCTTATTTTCCTTAAAATGTCATCAATACTCCCATTTCTTTTTACAAAAAAGGTTCATATGAACGTCTTTTGCCTGTTTACAATGTATTTTAGGCTTTATCCTGAAAAAAAACTATTTTTGAAAATTCAAGATTGATGATCCAAGATGGCGGATATGTAATATATGCATGACGTCATTTTATGACGTCACCGGTGTTGCTATGGGCAACATAAGACTTAGTACACCCTTATATTCTGTCATAAACACTTTTGGTAAAGTTATGTCGTATACCGTTTAGTTTTCAGGGAATAACCTATCTAGACGGTTTTGGCCAATAAAATCACATTAATGACGTCATAATGACGTCATATTACGTCACAACGACATAAAAATTGTACTTATGATAAATTTTTACTAGTACACTATCCTCTGAAAATTTGGTGGTCCTACCATATACCGTTCGCGAGTTCTGAGGGGGGGGCGGCAAGAGG